GAGGGGGGTCTACATTTTTCATTCCAAGGGAGGCTCCTGCCCTCCCTAGCAGACACCTGTCTTCCAAACCGAGACAGTTACATCAGTTGATCAGAGTACTTGCTTTATTTCCTACTCCCTCTACCACTTATATTGGCATGACCTACGCTCAGTAAACCTGTAAAGCTGGATCTTATTTTCCCTTCACCTTCAAAATTTTCCTAAATTTAAGGTCATTGCATCCTCTGTAACAATAATAGCATCCCAGTATTACAGCAAAGCCTATCAGTGTTAAGTTTCATTGCAAAGCTAAAAACTAAATAAGTCACCAGATAGTTCTAGACATTCTGGAAAACCACAATGTGGATCATATTTCTACAGCATTAGAAAAGTATCTGGCATTTCAAAAAATAAAAAAAAATCTGAGTTTATTTTACCTGGAAATGCTGCAGTTTCAGGCTCATAAATAGACTCTTGAAATCTCCTCCAATGCTCTTTTGAAAACATTTTGAATTCCAGTGTTACTTTCTTAAAATTTAATAAGCAAAAAACTGTCTTAGTACTATAGAGTATAAAGAAAGCTCTTATACGTGAAGTATATCACTCATTTATTATTTACAACCAAAAATTACTTATAAAGCAGAGAGTTGTTTATGCAGCTAAACAGGTTTGCAGAGTTAGTTACTGCTTACTTGCAGAGTCCTGTTTTTCTTATTATTATTTTTAATTTATGGCAACCATTTTCTCATTGTTTCCGTACAGACCTCAAGTAATACCATGAGATCTGACTCCTTGCAGTGCTTATGAGTTAAGGTAACTAAAAACTTGTATGGTCTGGTTTTGTTCCCTGCTGACAACCAGCTTTTGCAGTTCTGTATGAAATGGATACAGCTGATGAAGCCATTTCTAAACCACTCTTTTCCACAAAGATAAAAAAAAAATTATTCCCCACTATTCAACTGTGGGGTTTCTCAGAGTTTGGAAAGGTTGAACAAATTCGCTATTGCACATACCATAGTTTAGCAAAACAAATAAGTAATAAAAATATAGAGGCAAGTTAGGATCATGGGGGTTATTAATGACTTCTGCACATGCAAAAGAAAAAGAAAAATACAGAAGACAGAAGAACTGAAGATTTAAGGCTTTAGTGCTTGATTTGAAAAAGTCAGAGAGTATACATCACCCAGAAAGAAGTCACTTTCAGGCAAGATACTGATGTAATTCTGAAAACATTCATCAGATATATCCCTTTTACAGTCACTTCTTTTTGATTGTTGCTCAATCCAGAAAAGAAAGTGCTAGGCAAGGCAGAGAGGTAGTATTTTATGGTATCATCTGCTGCTCACAAGTTGTTTAGTGGCAGATATTTCTTTAATGCTCCTTCTTCACAGTATTTCTAATTCCTGTTAATGAGCTCCAGATGGCTCTCTACAAATATCATTGAGGTACCAGGACAATGCATGGTACCTCAGTAGGAAGTTAAGCTTCAATTAATTGTTAGAAGATTTTCATTTATGAAGTTTCAACACCTCTTTATTTCAAAATTGAAATCCCTGAATCATTCTGGGATAGGATTTTTTCATTTTTTTTTAAAAAGACTGTCCGTAAAGGAGCAATCACCAATAGAATACTGTTTTGTCATTTCCTGGAAAATCCATTGTAAAAGATGCAAGGACAAAGTATTTAATTACAAACTTCTTTTTGCACAAGCCAATCAAACCTACCATGTTTAAGACCCTGCCTTACATTCCAGAAACCTGTCCAGAAAAATCAGCTGGCTAAACCAAGGTAAATTCAATTTTGTTCTTGTGAGAAACTGAGCTGTACCTCCCCAAGAAAAAATAGTGTTTAGCCCTTTGTTTTTTTTGTGTTTTCTCTTTTTTTTTTTTTTCAATATTTTACTGAGGAACTGTCAGTAAGAAAACAGCCTCAATATCATTTATCTCCTGACTGCAAAAATGTTTAACACATCCTTGGGAAAAACTGTTAGCATTTGAAATTAACCAACCTTAGAAAGAGTTAAATCCTTTAACAGCCTGCTAATCCTGCAATTTTCAGACCACTCATAGATCTGTGTTGTCTTAAATCTTTGTGAAATCTACTGAAGCAGCTACTTCACATCTGCTTAATTCTGAAACACAGAGTTAAATATCTACTGTATTAAAAAAAAAACATGGAGGCAGAAGTTACTATTTCACCTTTTGGACCTTAGAAGAACATTTCTCCATTTTGTGAGTCCTGTTAATCACTATCTGTCAGGAAATGTTTTTCAGGTCAAAATTCACTTAGAAATTCAAGCATGTTGTTCTTCTTGATTCATGTAGCTATGGTGATTAAAGCATGACTAAAGAAGAGGAGTGTCTTTTACCCCAGTCCTCACCCCTCACCTGAAGTATTGAACACAAAGACAAGGGCTATTTGTTATTGAAAACTTGCTGTGCTAACCATAAGAAATCCCTTAATGTTTTACTTTTCCACTGATTTTACCAAAATCTGTTTTCCAGAGGATAATTTTTTTAAAAGTCAGTATTTGTTCACTTGTTTGTAGGAGTCCATTCATAATGGCTATTCTAGACCTGAGGGAGTGTCAGTTGTTAAGTTTTGATAAAATAGAAGTGCAGCATAAAAAGATTTAAGTGATGTTTCCTGACACACCAATATATGTTGTCTTTTCAATTACATGCAGCTTGAGAGCCCTGCAGCTCAGCCATCAGGCACCCAGAAAACCATAGTTCATATAAAGTTCATGCTTTCTAACTCCTCAAAAACCTCTAACTACCAAAGTAAAATAAAAGCAACTAAGGTATGGCCATAGTTTACTGAATAACCACATGATACTGTCAACAAGCTCCTGTCTTCTTTTTTCCATTTATGACCCCTTGTTTGCCCCTGTTTGTTGTGTTTTGAAGTGGAAGTTCCCTAGGGGAGAAAAAACATTCCTCAGCTTGATAAGTCCAGTGCCCAGCTTCCTGGTAAGCATCCAAAGAGAACTCAAAGTAAAAAAAATAATAATAATTAAAAAAAAAAAAATCAATATCTTTATGACCCACAACTAAGCTTCTATGTTTTTTTTGAATTAGACCTGGAAGATTTTCAGAGCTTTTTACAAAAAGAAAAGGTGATAGTTTGCAAATGTTACATAGTGAAGGACAATATTCCAGTGCAAGCAGATAGTCTAGAGCTTTCTTTCTATGTCAGGAGAATATTTTCATCCTGTGTAATCTTTGCCACAAGATGCATGTGTGAAATACCATGTTACCCTTCCATTCCAAGAATTTTACCTCCTACAGCACATTAGCTGAGATAGATACATGTTTTTGTTCTTGGATAAAAATGCTATAATCATTGACATAAGCAAGCTAGTTCACAGTAGAAGTGAGTAATACATCCCTACCAATATTTTATTTAAGAATTTTAATATTTACAAAGCAACTGAAATTGGAACAAGACAAGCACCAAAATAAGATTTTCATATTTCAAATTTTTTAATTATAAATAAACCTAAATATCAACCATGTGACATATCCTGGTTCTCAGAAAGATAACTTGGCAAAGGATCTAGAAGCCAAAAGCAGTCTGATGGACTGTCTGAAAAGACAAAAGATGGTCAAACTGTTAGGAAACCTTCCTGGACTGTGGATTCTGGGTCAGCTGTGACAAACAGTGAAGTTTGTCAGCCTGTTCCCATTCCACAGTCCCCTTAAATAATATCAGCCTCAACAAAGGATAGACAATTTCCATGAAGGATTTTTTTCACGTATAAAATTTTTTTTGAAGCTTTCTGTGAATTGGTAGATTTGCGTACATGAAATTCTTTACATTCCTGGATAGCAAATGAATGATGAAGTTCATATCATCCTTTGTGCTAGACAGATGACTTCTTCTTCCAATCAGTCAAAACCATACATGGCTTGCAAATTTGAATTTTAGCTAAATGATACATAGTGCTTAATTGTAGCTTTAAGTTTTCACAGATATTAACAGCACAATTTGAAATGAAAGTCAACATATAAATGTAGTCTAAATCACAGGGCGCAATAACATTTATTTTTGAAGGCTGATCTAAGGAAAAAAATGATGAATAGAAATCAATTGTTAATTTCCAGCAGATTTCACACACTCACCAAGAAGAAACCATTTAACATGCCAGCAGGACTGTACTTACTTCAATAAATTTAATTAATTTACTTAATCAACCATGGTATCTCAGTGATCTGCCTCTATCAAATTCCTTTTTTACCAATAACTCCAGACTTTATTTTGTACTCCTGGTAGCATTTAGTCACATCATTACAGCATACCCATCTAAATCAATCATCTGCTGAGTTTAAAAAAGGTACAAATATTTTGAAGTGAGTAATGTTCCTCTGCTCAAAAGAGGAATTATAAATTCTAAAAAAAAAACAAACTGATTTGCCTCTTCTTCATGCACATTATTTCTCATCTCTGTTGTCAATATTTTCCAGATCTCTAGAGAGGCAAAATCATTGTTATATACAATATAGACTTTTTAAGTCAGTTACCATTTCACAGCAAGGTCTTGTTCCAAACCTCAGGCAAGAGCTATGCATAATAGTTCATGTTTTTGCTAACAAAAATTCTTGCAGCTAGCACAAGATAGATCTGCCAGGGCAATGGATTTTACAAGTGGTGACCCACATCACAAATCTATATGTTCAGTATTCCATCTTTCAACAGGCTTGGAACTGAATTACATATAAATCAGATGTCCAGTCAAACTTCAATTAGTGCAGTCAAAATATTAATCACAGACAGTTTCTGTCTGAAAAGCAAATTTCCCAAATCACATCTTCATTCACATTCATTCACATTCAGTTTACATTTCTAAGAAATCATATGTATGGTAGGTGAACATAATAGACTGCTTGATTAACCACAGTGCATGCTTTTTGTCTAGTTAGTTGGAGAGTTTAAGGGTGACTGTCTGGGCTTCTCTGATATGTCATATCCCAGCGTCTGATTTCTACTGACCTAACTGATCTTTTAAATTTGAAAATGTTTATTACTAAATCTCTTGACTTTTTTAAACGGTGTGAGCATTTTAATTTCATATGACTGTGTTGCTTCTTTCCAGAGATTCATTAAATCACAAATACAATCAGTTTTTATTTAGGTTTTATTTTAAAAAAAAACCAAGACGTATACATTTCAGCTGGTATTTCACAGACAAGGTGGGGGGCAGGAGGGAGAACACATGTTAAAACCAAAGCAGATTCTTTGCTGGTTTACAATTTTCTTCTTAACAGCACCTAAAACTAGGAGGTTGAAGTCATCAACACAGAACTTCAATGCTATGTATCACCATTGCTATAACCCACCCCACTTATGTTGCCTAAAGGCTGGACTGAAAACAAACAAACAAACAAAAAAGGTTTACCTAGCTCTTACAAGACTTTACCTTCACATGTCTTTTCATGCCATAAAAAAATCTCCTTTTTTTTGGTTGCTGCCAACAAATAACCTCTTATGCAAATGAAGAATAGGAATATTAATGTCAGAGACTGAAAGAAAACAGGTATTGCAGGAAGAAATAGTGTTTGAGCATGATACAATAACTGATTATTTGCATGAAGATTCGTGAATAGTAATCCACATCATAGACAGAGCATACACAGTGTATAGAAAATTCATTTCTGGATTATGAAAAAAATGCATAATTTTCCTTAAAGTTGATGTAGTTAGTTAATAATTGCTTGGATAGTCAAACTCATGCTATAATTACCTCTACCTTAATTCTTTCCAACATAATTTCCTTGACAGTTAGTTTCATAATTTCTCATTTCAAAATTGAA